CGCAGAACCCTGCTTCAAGGACCTGTTGGCACAAATCTAGCCACAGCTCCAAGACAGCCCCCTTCGGCTCTTGACATCAACTTACGATCTTGCCTGACATTACTCCATTAAGGGATTCTTTGAAAACCAGTTTCTCTACATAATGCGGATTCTAGTATGATGGTTGCACCTCCTTATGCAATTATATGGTCTTTCAGTGGTTATTCAAAGAAATTACCTAATACTGATGCTACTACTAATTCTTCCCAGGTACATGCACATTATTACTTCAGGTAGTAACAGTATCTCTTATTTTTCGAGGCTAACAGTAAATCAGTAGTATAAGATGTATTCACCCTATTTCGTTTAAGGTCATGAAGAACTGGTTGTTGATTTTTCCCCCAATGATATGAGTAGAGCTGACGTTTCCATTTAATTTCACAGAGGCTTGCTTTCCCAAAAGTTGTTCTCATCCAGGCACCAATGGACTGCAGTTTCGATCTCTCCTCGGTCTTATCAACACCCCCAATGGGAGTCGAGTCGTGACAGTGCAGCATGTGAGCTTGACACATTAACCATCTTGTATTAGTGATATCCTGGTAGTCTCGAAATTCTACTTACATACGAAAATTAAGTAAAGTAGTCGATTTTTATAGCAAAAATACGTTTGTTTCATCGACAATCACACCAAAGAATGTGATATGGGAAAAGGCCTGGCCTTCCGTGAAATTCACACCTTCCCTGTGAACCAAGGGCACTGGTGGCAATGTGGCTGAGTGATGTCAGGATTACATGCTGCACTGTCACGGTTCTACTCCCGCTGAGTGTTTTGCCAAGACCTATACGAGGTCGAAACTGCCTGAATGAGAACAACTTTTGGGAAAGTGAGGCTATGTGAAATCCAATAGAAACGTAAGCTCTACTCATATGATTGTGAGAAAATTCTACTACTTGTCTTTCATTAGCTAGAGCGAAATTGTGTGAATACATCTCATAGTCTCTCTTAGCAGTGACGATTCCGACTAAGATGATAGCGCAGTTTCAGAAACCTACCCGAGCCTCATTATGATGCTGGAAGGAGGCTAGAAACAAATGCAATAGAACACCGTTCGAGGTGCTTTTTGTTTAAGTCTGGCTGAAAACACGACTAAAGTTTGAGCCATCTTTATTGGTAGTTGATTTAATTTTAAGCTACCCACATACACTAAAGAGAATATCTGATCATATCAACAAATATTGTTTTGTTTAGTCTTGAGCCCGTCACTGTCTCTTCACCGATTCCAACGAGATACGAGATAGTGCTTTGCGTATCCCAATCATGGAACTGTAGCATTTTGTAGAATGTTCAAAAAATCTTCCGAAGAGATTTCAGAAGCCAGATTGTAATGTCTGGAGTGGATCATACGATCTATGGTGTAGACCGTTTGTACTGCAGGCCATTGGACCGAAATCTACTCAGTTTTAACCCTCGAAGAATGTCTGTTATGCGGTGGACACAAAGCGAGATACACATTGTTTATCTGTTGCAGCATAAAGCCAATTTTGCCTCTACCTTGCGCTGAACGGTGCACCCAGAAAGCATAACAAGAGGCTCGAATGACTGACTGTCGTTGCCAGGATCGCTGTGAGCGCATGATGTCATCTGACAGAAGCTGCTGTAGCAGGTATCCAGCCGGGACAAAACGAAGAAATAGTACTGACTTAGTGCCGGTTTCCGCTTGATCTGCTGTGCTGCCGGTGAAACAACTCGCCAGCATCACATGCCCTCCCGCAACGGTATTCATAGCTACAGTAAAGCATCTACACATATGCGCGTGTGCGTAGACATTAACAAGCACAACCAGGCACTGGCAAACTTTTATACGTCATTTTGCACTATTTCGATAGACCAACTTTTGTCAAGATGAAGGCTCGAAAGAAAATTTCTAAGCCTGCTATGTCTCTATGCCTGACTGCTAGCGCGAAGTAATTAGAGGAGCTTAAGGGCAATTAGCATCTTATGGTGTTGGACGCAAGTCTGGCACTTTTGCAACAATTCTCTGAGTGGTCGGGAAAATCTGCGCAAAGCCGAATTGTTCCTGATTTCTGTAATTCCGGCGGCTTCGCAACCTCATGGAATAGTGATATTCTGACTTGCACGCTGGTTCTCTCTTGCCCGGCATGACAACAACTTGACTAGCTGTCGATCGGCTTTACTAGAAGACTCATGTTGATGCTGTTTCTGAGGCAATCTCCTTCGATTCCGGTCTAAAGGTGTTAAGCTTTCGTCCGTCATATGACGAACATCATCAGAGCGAGGTAACATCTTCACAACAAAATTAAAGCTAACGAGTTTTCTTGATTCATATGACGGACGTAA